TCCTGAGTTCATTCTAGCAATAGAAAATACCCACTGATAGATGAACTAAAAATCCATTACTGTTTCAAATGGGAAAGAAAAATACTCAAAAGGAAAATCTTTCAAATTAGTATGGGAATTATTAGCAAATAAATATTTTTTCCTTAAATTTTTTATTGTGAAAAAGTTCAAACATACATAAAATAGACAGGCTGGTATAGCCAGCTCTCACATACGCATGCCCAGCTTTTACTTTTGTTAACATCTGTTTCTCTACCCGACTCACCCTACTACTCCATAGTGATGAAGATAATGATTTTTAAAAAATCATATTTAGTTTTGCCTTTGCGTAGGGGGGTGATTTACTCTATTTTGTATATGTATGTATGTGTGTTTCCTAAGAGCTTTGCAAATAAGCTTTTTACTGTAACTTTTTCAGAATTAATATGACATGTTAATGATTATTAGATCTCATCTATCTTTGGGGTACATGAAATCTTTCCAAGAGATACACAGGCAGATATATTTTATTGACTTTAGTTAAATGCCATTTCCGGGATAGATAATATGAACAAACAATAATCAAATGCCTTTACATTTAAATGGGGAAGTTTTGGGGCGAAACATTCTTCAGTCAATGCAATTATTCAATACAGGCATACCTCAGAGATATTGTAGATCACCTAACTGAAGTGAAGATTGCAAAAAGGAAAATCATACAAATTTTTTTTGTTAACCAATGCATATAAAAGCTGTGTTTATACTATATTAAGTGTGCAGTATATTGCATCTAAAAATGTAAATACCTTAAGTGAAAAATATTTTATAGCTAAGAAATGCTAAGGATCATCCGAGCCTTCAGTGAGTCCTAATCTTTTTGCTGGTGGAAGGTCTTGTCTTGATGTTGATGACTACTGACTGATCAGTGGTGGTGGTTGCTAAAGGTAGTGGTTGCTGAAGGTGGTGGTTGCTGAAAGTTGCTGTGGCAATTTCTTAAAATAAGACAACAGTGAAGTTTGCCACATCAGTTGACTCTTCCTTTATGAAAGATTTATCTGTAGCATGCAATGCTATTTGACAGCATTTTACTCAAAGTAGAACTTCTTTCAAAATTGGAGTAAATGCTCCCAAATCCTGCTAATGCTTTATGAACTAAGTTTATGGAATATTCTAAATCCTTTGTTGTATTTCAATGATAATCAGAACATCTTTAACAGAAGTAGTTTTCATCTCAAGAAACCACTTTCTTTGTTCACCCATGAGAAGCAACTCCTCATCCGTTCAAGTTTTATCATGAGATTGCAGCAACTCAGTCATATCTTCAGGCTCTACTTTTATTTCTGGTTCTCTTGATATTTCCATCACATGTGCAGTTACTTACTCCACTTGGATCCCCCTCAGTCATCCATGAGGATTGGAATCAACTTCATTAAACTCCCATTAATGTTGATATTTCGACCTCCTTCCATAATAACGAATGTTCTTAATGACATTTAGAATAGTGAATCTTTTCCAGGAGATTTTCAGTTTACTTTATCCAGAGCCATCAGATAATCACTATTATTGCAGCTATAGCTTTATGAACTGTGTTTCTTAAATAGTAAGACTTGAAACTTGAAATTACTCCTTGATCCATGGGCTGCAGAATGATGTTGTGTTAACAGACATGAAAACATTATGCTCCTTGTATGTCTCCATCAGAGGTCTTGGGTGACCAGGCGTACTGTTAGTCAACAGTAATGTTTTGAAAGAAATATTTTATTTTCTAGCTGGTCATGGCGGCTCACACCTGTAATCTCAGCACTTTGGGAGGTTGAGCTAAGAGGATTGCTTGAGCCCAGGAGTTTAAGACCAGCCTGCGGAATATAGTGATACTTCCATCTCTATCAAAAAAACAACAACAACTTTGAGCCATAGGTTTCAACAGTGGGCTTAAAATATTCAGTAAACAATGTGGTAAACAGATGTGGTCTCATCCAGGCTTTATTATAAGCACAGGCAGGGTAGATTTAGCATAATTTTTAAGGACTCTAGGATTTTTGGAATGATGACTGAGCATTGGCTTCAACTTAAGGTTACCCGCTGCCTTAGACCCTAACAAGTCAGGCTGTCCTCTGAAACCAGACTTAACTTTTCCTCTTTGACTATGAAAGTCATAGATGTCATCTTTCAATAAAAGGCTGTTTTGTCTACATTTAAAATCTGTTGTTGGTGTAGTCACCTTCATCACTTCAATTAGGTAGGTCTTCTGGATAGCTTGCTGCACCTTCTGCATCAGCCCTTGCCGTTGTTTCACCTTGTACTTTTGTGTTATAGAGATGGCTTCAGTGAATCAACCTCTGCTAGCTGCAAACCCTTTTCTGCAGCTTCCTCACCTCCGTCAGCCTTCATAGAATTGAAGAGATTTAGGGTCTTGTTCAGAATTAGGCTTTGGCTTAAGGGAATGTTGTAGCTAGTTTTACTTATTTATTTTTTAGTCAGACCACACAAACTTTCTCCATATTAGCAGTTACGCTGTTTTGCTTTCCATCATTCATGTGTTCACTGAAGTAGCTTTTTAAACTGCCTTCAAGAACTTCAAGAAATGCAGAGGAAACTTTGCATTTACAACTTGGCTGTTTGGTGCAAGAGTCTCAACTTTTGGTCTATTGCAGCTTTCAGCATGCCTTTCTTACTAAGCTTAATAATAATCATTCCTAACTTTTTACGTGAGAGATGTGCAACTCTTCCTTTCACTTGAACATTTAGAGGTCATTGTAGGGTTATTAATTGGCATGTTTTCATTCAATATTGTTGTGTCTCAGGGAATAGGGAGGCTCAAGGAGAGGGAGAGAGACAGGAGTGGACAATTAGTGAAGCAGTCAGAACATACACAACATTTATAGGTTAAGTTTCCCTTCTTACATGGACATGGCTTGTGGCACCCCAAAACAAGTGTAATAGTAAGAGCAAAAATGACTGATCACAGATGTCTTATATCATCTGACATATAATAATAATTACCAAAATTTGACACACAGACACACAATTAGCACAAACTTGAAAAAATGGTACCAGTAGACTTACTTGATGCAGGGTTACCACAAACCTTCAATTTTTAAAAACATGAAGTATCTGTGAAACACAATAAAGTGAAGCTCAATAAAATGAGTTATGCCTGTATTTTGTTTTGCTCTATTTACATAATCTGCCTAGAACATTTTGAGTACTTTACCCAAAATGTTATACTGTATAATGATAGACATTGGTAAATACCAGTTATTTCTTAAAAACAATGTAAAAGCAAAATTTAATCGTGCTTTAATTAGTAAGTCACAAAACAGACCAGTTATGTGACCATAGTCTAGAGTTGAATGGTTTTTATTTTTGTATATTAAACATGACAGCCCAATGAAGAAAACTTGTATAAGTTTTATAGGGTACAGTTTAGGTCACAGAATGAAAGTTCAATGTAACTTGTTTATTTTACATTGATTGATTAACCAGTAATTGTCCATATGACATCCCAATGCAAATGCTGACATCCGTTTCCAAAAGAGTTGTTTTTTTTGTGCTTTTTCTAAGGTTACGAAGGTTTTTGTGGTTTAAATGTTGTTACATATTTTACAGCATTAGGATCTATGGAATATTTTGACAACTGCAACAGTTCAATGAAGTTGGTAATTTCTTCTTTTAATTATTTTTCATTGAACAGCTTTGGAGTTACATTTCTACATTTTGATTTCTGGTATATTATAAGGAAAGAAAAAATTATGTCAAAGGGTACTTTAGAGAAAATACGTAGATAGTGATTACAATATGGCTGTTACTAAATTATGCTTAATCTTGTTGAAGTTTTGTTAATGCCTAATTTTGATGAAATAGTACGGTGTTCCTTCCAGCTACTGATTGTATATATGTGATTGCACATCTTTCTTAAATAAGTTGATTTGTAGGTTTTCACATATTGTCAGCCACACTCTAATCCTCTTATAAAGAATGAACCTGGCTTTATTCAATTAAATAATTCTCTGGTACAGGTTTTCCTTCCATAATATTTTAAAGTATAATGTTTTGAATTTTTTTGAGGGTAAAGTGAAAAAAAAATGTTTTAAAAACTTTAGTTGTCAAATTATTTTAATTTAAGCCTCTTTTAGAAATTAGAGATGTATTGTTTCTTTTGGGTGCATATCACCAATTAATACGTTTGATTTCAGATCTACAACTTACTGCTTTCTAAACTTCGCCGAGGTAAAATGAAACCATTTGGCTACTTGAACTGATCTACGTTACATAGGTTTTTCCTATTGACATTTGCAATAGATAACATGTCAGAAATGAAAGTGATGAAACAATACATCTTCCATACTCTGAATTGGCATAATACTAAATACAATAGAAGCTAATTTTTTAAAGACTGTGAAATATAATTTTTTTTAGTTCAAGTATTATTATAATGAGTGAGAGCTACTAAGAGTAGAGCTTTCTCTACGGTGGTAAAATGTAACCAGAATGTTTGCATATACTGGAATTATAAAAGATTAGTTAGTTTTGCAGCATAACTCATTTTTCTAACTCTAATATTAGTTTAAGGATTTAGTAAAATACAAGTAGATTGTTCTTAATTGAAATCATATTTTATATATACTTAATTCTTTTCAAAGGGTGAAACTTTATTTTAAGTTTTTTAAAATATAAGATTAAATAAATAACACATTTTAGCAAATATGTGCTGTCAAGAAAGATAAGGGAATTCATGGTAACTTGTATTTAAAATTCTGTAACTTTGGGTTGGGTAAAGATATACTTAAAATAAAGCATTCCCTTTGTAATTCTGATGCATTCTCAACATATGGGTATTAAAAACATGTAAAAAAAAGTTTATATAAATATTAAATTACTTTAGAACTATTTCCTAAATTTAAAATTACTAATGCAGTATATTAATTTTAATGGTAGCTGTTTGAAATTTTGATATTAGCCTGAAACTTAACTCTGATGGTACCTATATTAACGTATTTATGTCTCTTATTTTTTTGCAGCAAGGAGTAAATAATGCTGAGAAATTTGACTATGTAAGTGCAACATGTCATTCAGTTTTCATGCCACATTCTCTATATATTTGTTTGATTACTAATATTTCCTAATTTTGGTTTATAGGTCATGCAGTTTTTGAATAAGATGGCGGGTAATGAATATGTTGGATTCAGTAATGCAACGTGAGTGTTTTAAATACTGTTTTGTTACATAAAGATACAAACACACAGTATATTTAGAATTGATCTGCTCTCCTTTTATTAGAGGGAAATGAATGATTTCTAAATTACATGACAGAAACACTTAAAAATGCTTTAAATAGTTTTGACAAATTTCTTATAGGTAATTTTACAATCAGAAGAGACCCCAAGTTTATCTCAAATTGCTGGTGCTTATTTAATTTTACCTTTGCTTATAGTACCTGTCTTACCTTTCTTCTATTTCTGTTTCAGGCTAATTTGATTTTTACCCCAATTTTGTACTTTAAAATTTCTAAGTCTACAGAAAGCTTGAAGAAATAAATAGCTGGAATCTTTTACTTATATTTTCTAATATTTTTGTCATACTTGCTTTTTCTCAGCTTCTCTCTCTTTTTTCCCAAAATCATTTCTAATTAAGTTGTAGACATCATGATATTTCACCGTTAAATAAGAAAGCATATATAATCTAAGAATAAGGACATAACCACAATACCATTAACACTTGTATGAATATTAACATTGATTTTAAAATATCAGGACATTAATCAATATATGAATGTCCCCAACTCTTCCCCAAGTGTCTTTTATAACTTTATTATTATTTTTTGATTCAGGAACAAGTCAAGTTTCTCATATTGTATTTATTACGATGTCTGTTTTGTCTCTTTACTTAGAACAATTCCCATCTCTAGATCCTTGGTTTTAAAAATTTTATTAAATGCCTTTTATTTTTAAAGAGTGCAGGCTGCTTGTTTCATAGACTAGGGCTTGCTGACTTTTTTTCTGAAGGACCAGACAGTAAATATTTTAAGCTGTGGGCCATACAGTCTGTGTTGTAACTTCTGACTTCTGCTGTTTAGTAGAAAGCAGCCATAGACAATTTGAGGGCTGTGTTCTAAAAAAACTGTATAAAAACAGGTAGCAGGCCATTGATTGGATGTTTCCCATTTTGTATTTGTCTGATTGCTTCCTTGTAATGAGAAACATTATTATCTTAAGCATTATTGTAACATTATTAAGCAGTTTTAGCATGTATACTAACTACTATTTTACTCTTATTTTACACTTCCTGCTTCACATTTCAGGGGTAAACATTTTCAGGTTGCCTACCTTCCCAACATTAATTCATCAGCTTAAATATCTTTTCCAGGAAGTATTCCATGAATCTCAACTTGCCTGTTTCCTGTGCTCTTCTATTACCATATTTTATCAACTTATTACATGTCTCTCTTTGCTCCATAACCACCATTAGACTCTGCCCTCCTTAAGACCTAGATAGGATGTTGTGTCTTCCAGTTCATTTCTATATCCCTGTTATCTGGCAGATAATAGGCACCTGAGATAGTGTTGAAGAACTATGTGTCAGGCACTGTGATAATTGCTGACTACTTAGTCCTTTATCTAAACTATGTTGATGTTTTTTTTAAAAAACTATGGCAAACTGATAAGAATTTGAAATGTTAAAATGTACAATTAGAAGGGACCCTCCATCTCAGTGATAGAGCTTTACCCACAGTTCTTCTAATATCAGCAGCCCTTTTAGACTTGTAGGGTAATTCTCAAATATACTGCAAGTTAAATCTGTCTAAATCAAAACGCAATTCTCTTTCTTTCCAAACTGCTTTTTGCTGTAGCGATCCCTGTGTCAGCTAATATTATTATCCTCTCAGGGTATGTTAGAAATTGAGGCTTTATATCAGTCTTTACCCTCCCTGTTTCTCCTTTTTCTCATCAGGTTGGAAAGTTATCCAACTGCTTGCATGTTTGATCATACCCCTCCTTTTATTCCTATCACAGCTGCCTAAATTCAGGCTTTTGTCGCTCTCATTACAGTATTCTCTTAATAGATCAGGCATCACTTCTTTTTCCCCTTTCCCAAACTGATGTCAGAGTTATCTTTCTTAAATGTAGATATGCTTAAGTAACTTGTTTGAAAGCCCTCAGGCTTTTGTTTTGTGGATGGTCAGGAGCTATTACATTATTTGGCATCTATCGGTTTTGATAATTTGGTCCCAGTCTCCTTTGTTGGTTTGATGTTTTGCCACTCTTCTCCATATGCTTTTCCCAGTTATATCAGAATATTTGCCATTCTTCAGTGGATTACTATCTTTATACTTTTATAACTGTTCATGCTGCGTAGAATTTGCCAGTGCCTAGGCTTCCCCCTGAAATCTGTTAGTCCATTGAGTCCTGCAAGTTCCATTTTGTGTTTCCTACTCTTAGTGAAAGTTCCATGATTATGTCAAGTTCCCTGATTATATCCGTTGAAATGGACTCTTATTGTACTTTTGGGTAGCTACAGGATTCTGCAATTTTTAGTACATTTTAATGGTAGAATATTTGATAAGTTTAAAGTTAGCATTTTTGTTTACAAAGTATAAAGACTAGAAAGGGCCTGAGTTCATTTTCGTCATTTTACAGTCAAGAAAATGAAGATTGAAAGAATTATCACTTAAACAACTTGTGCAAAGCTACTCAAATAGCCTAATAACAGAATTGATTGGAACCCTGTAGTACTGAATCTTAGTTCATTGTTCTTTATGCTGTATATTACTATACAAATGAAATTGTCAACAATCAGACTTTTACAGAAAGTACATAGAGCAAATGCTTTTTTTTCTTCTTCCAGGTTTCAGTCTGAAAGAGAAAGTGGAGATCGAAATTTTGCAATAGGATATTACTTAAAAGAAAAGAAGGTTTTTAAATTTTTGTTTCTATTTCAAATTATTCTTTTATTTAATTGAATACATGAAGATAGATATACGTTAAGAATTCAACAATAGCCTTTAAGCAACTACCTATTACTATTTAAGGTGCAGAAGTTTTTGCAGGGTGCTCTTCAGTCAGTGATAACAAATTGTTAATGTCATTATTAAATGGATTTGTATCTGGCAGTATTTAAATATTTGACTAATTTTATTTATTAATGTAAATTGTGTTTGAGATTTTGTCCATTTTTTTCAAAAGCATAATGTCTGATTAGTGTTAACTACCCTTGATTTTTTTTTTTAAGTGGCTGTTCCAGTAACTTGATTTATAAATCATGAATCATTTTATCATTGTCAGTTAAACTAGTATCTAGAAACTTACATGATGCCATCTAATTTTGCTTTATTATTCTTTATTTTGTGTTTATACTCTTTTAAAAGTTACATGCTATTTTATTAATTAAAATGAAACACATGTATACATTTGAAATTTAATTTTCCTGTATTTCTCTTCTTATGTGCATTCCTGTGTGCCTGAATTTTTAATATCCTTTCTAATTTTTTAGTGTTTTCCAGAAGGCACTGACATGGTTGGTATATTAGACTTCTACTTCCAGGTAATTTAATTATATAAATTGTATGTATAAATGGATGTGTCAGCTGGGCTTGGTGGCTCATGCCTATAATTCCAGCACTTTGGGAGGCTGAGGTGGGCGGATCACAAGGTCAATAGATTGAGACCATCCTGGCCAACATGGTGAAACCCTGTCTTTATAAAAATACACTACCCTGTTTTTGTAAAAATGCAAAAATAAGCTGGGTGTGATGGTGCGCACCTGTAATCCCGGCTACTTGGGAGGCTGAGGCAGGAGAATCTCCTGAACCTGGAAGGCGGAGGTTGCAGTGAGCCGAGATCGCGCCACTGCATTCCAGCCTGGCAACAGAGTGATACTCTGCCTGGAAAAAAAATAATAAAATAAATGGATGTGTCACATTATGCAAAATACAGATGTCTCAGAAATCTTGGTTCTAGGCTGTGAGAAAATACATTTTCCATTGACTTTCAAAAATGTCTTCATAAAAGTCAGTCTCATGTCTATGTTGCCTGAAAATTCATGCCTCAAAATGTAATAGGGAAATTTTTTCCTGAAAACATATTTAAGAATTGTCAAAAATAATGTACACTCCCAGAAGTTGGCAATCCTAGTTAAAAACTGAGCTCGAAATTTTTCTTAGCTTTTACATTTTGTTTAGGAAAAGCTATTATTAATTTTTTAATCAGAGAGCTCTTATTCAGCATTTAAAAGTGTGAATGTCTCAGCTGACTTGATATCTTTTGTAATTTCTTTGTTACTACTCTATTCTGGCTTATCTGGTCCCAGTTCATTTCTGCAGTGTCAGATGTTGGGCTTTCTTCTAAGTTAGTGTAGCCCTCAATATTCAGGGGCTAAGATTGGGCGAGAGGGAACAGGCTGCACACAATGGGCTGTGCTATAGAGCTCAATTTAGAATAGCCTTCCTGGAGATTTCTTCTCTCACTCACATTTTCAGTTCAATTTATTCTTACATATTTATCACAGTTGGTGCTATTGATGGGACTGTAACGTGAAGCTACATAGTAGGCTACATTATTGCCAATTTCTAGTTCTTGTTACATTTCCCTGTCTTACTTTTAAAGGTTCTTTAATTTTATCCTTTCAGTAATCTTAGAGAATATATAAGGGAGGTTGATGAGTTAGATTTTAATAGATGTCCAGGTTGCAGCTAGTCATCTGCCCAGTGTGAAAAGCCATAAATTGGGAATCCAGATCATCAATATAAAATGTGAGTTCTAGCCCAGCCATTTATTAGCTATGTGACCTAATTAGCTACCGATCCCTAGTTTCCTTATCTGTAGCATATGCCTAACCTACCTTGCTGTATTATGTTGAAGATAACATGAGATGACATGTGAAATTCCTTTGAAACTATGTCATATCATTGAACTCCAATAGCCTTTATTTTTTCCCTAGTTTGTATGAATTTTTTCCATAAGTTTCTTTTTCTTTAGAATACATATTTAAATTTGGCTGTTATAGCTTAGATGCTGCTAATCTACTATAATTAAAATTTCTATACTTGATGGCAAAAATTAAGAGACAGCTGTAGAAGTGGTACTGACTGTTTTGGAGAAGGACTGCATCAAATTGAACTGCCATTGAGGTTAGCAGCAGAGTACTCAAGTCGGTATTTTGGCAGATTAAGAGTGTGCTGCCCTATGACAAACACAATTCCAATTAATATTAAGTATAAATTAGAAAATGATTATTGGCTGGCCGGGCGCGGTGGCTCAAGCCTGTAATCCCAGCACTTTGGGAGGCCGAGGCGGGTGGATCACGAGGTCAAGAGATCGAGACCATCCTGGTCAACATGGTGAAACCCCGTCTCTACTAAAAATACAAAACATTAGCTGGGCATGGTGGCGCGTGCCTGTAATCCCAGCTACTCGGGAGGCTGAGGCAGGAGAATTGCCTGAACCCAGGAGGCGGAGGTTGCGGTGAGCCGAGATCGCGCCATTGCACTCCAGCCTGGGTAACATGAGTGAAA